AAGCAAGAGGTTTTTATTCCAGCATGCTGGGGTTGCTCCGTCTTCAGGACAGAAGCGGCCCCGAGCTCTTAACACAAGTACTTTTTATACAGTTTGGTAGGCAGACTTTGGCAACAGGATGAGTTGTACACAGCTTATTGGTCATCTGAGGTGACTTTTAAATTCATTGGTGGTACGCAGGTGGGAACTGGGGACGTGATCCATCACCTAGTAGTTAGGCCTTTACTGGAACTGGGTGTACTTCGGGTTCCTGGAATGGCCCACCCTTATAGTGGTTAGACCCTTCCTGGAAATTCCTTTTCCCCTGGCAATGGAAAGTTCCAAAAAGGTTGGTGGGTTCTTAAGCCATTTAAATACTATTTAAACTTAATTAATCTACCTTATTACACAGCAAGCAGTTTCACAGAAGCGAATTGCATATGTTATGAAAGTGGGGGTTAATTTTATCTCTACAGGGTGTCTAGTAATTATTTGTTGAATAAAAGATTGTAAAAATGTTAGCACTAGTTGTATTTTTTTTTTTTATGCCTTGGAATAAATTTCTGCACTGTGAAACAGGTACATGTGAATACAATATTCCTTTAGAACAGGTTTCTCTATGGTGGCACTATTGACACTATGGCTGAGGAATACTTTGTTGAGGGGTGTTACCCTGTACATTGTAGAATGTTTAGTAGCATCCCTGGTCTCTCTCTACACACTAGATGTGAGTACCATTCCTCCACTTATTACCCCAGTTGTGACAACTAACAGTCTTTCCAGACATTGCCAGATGCCCGCTGGCTGGCAGAATTATTCCTGGTTGAGAATAGTGTGTTAGAAGAAAAAAAGCATATAGATTACAATACTCTTTTTAACTGTAGCTTATATTGTGTGTATGTTTTTTGAAGGGTGAATTTTAAGGATGTAGAAACATGTTTCATAGTTCTTCAAGCTTAACCTTGTACCATTTAAGGAAACTGTCAAAGACACTATTCTTACAAAACTCTGATGACTTAAGAAAATTGCATTTTTTACTGTTTTGTGTATTTTACATTGAATAATGGATTTTATTTGATGTTTCTTCCAGATTGAAATTAAAATGAAAAAGCCTGAGGCTGTGAGATGGGAAAAGCTAGAGGGGCAAGGAGATGTGCCTAAACCAAAACAGTTCATATCAGGTTTGTTTTCGTGCTCTGATAAGCTTTGAAGTCATATTGTCTTGTGTAGTTGAAATTAAATAGTAATGAGCATGCTTTCTTTCAATATTTATGTTCCTAAGATAAGATACATTGAATATAATAAGGCTGCTCTGTAATGAATACAAAGTAGCCTCTGTTTTGAAGGTCCTAAAGTCTTAAAACTGTAAAAAATGTAAATGAACGGCAGCAAAATCCCAGAGGAGTTGGGATTTATTGTTTACCATGTCGGAAGGTTGGTTGTTTTTGTTTGCTGGCTTTTTCTGTTGCTTCTTTTTGGATTGTAAATTAATTAGTTTACCTTGCTCATATATTTCCTTCTCTTCCCTCTCCCTCTCCTTTTTTAGTCTTTTCTATTCCTTCTACTTATGTGGTCAACTCTAATTTCCTTGAAATTCAAGATTTTACAGAGGAAACCATCTAGCCCATTTCAGTATAGTGCTAAGTTAGGAATGGGCACAAACAGGTAATGAATACCTAAGGAAAGTCTAGAAGAATAGAAAACTAGGGTTGATTATATAACCATTTAAGAGATGAACAGCTTTGTGTTAAGGTCAGTTCTAAGCTTATGCAATAAAACAGGTAAGCATTTTTTCTAATGGCATGATTAATCTGCAGGGCGCTTCTAGAACTACAACCTAAGATTGTATTTTACAGCAATTACCTTGTTAATGAATCAAAGAAATTTCTTTTTGATTTAGTAGAATTAATGCTCCGATTTGATGACTGAAACATGCTAACATTGTGTCTCAGCAACTTTCAGATTTTGACTGCTTCCTTCTATAACAGAAAACACATTTCCTTGTGGCACCTTTTAGAAAACACTGAGACATTCAGATTGTTTGTGTGTGTGTATTTATTTATCTAAAAATAATTTTAAACTCATAGATGTTGCAGAAATAAGAGAGTTCCCATTTACCCTTTACCCAGCTTCCCCCAATGATAACATCATAACTAGTCTGTAGTATAATTAGCAAAACAGGAAGTTGACACCAACAGATAATTTTTAAGGACTGAAATATTTCTAGTTGGTATTTAAGGTATTTAATTAGGCTTCTGGTTCACACTTTATTTGAAAGACTTAGTAAAGGTGTTACTTCTCTTGGGACTGACCCTCAGAGTTTGTTGAGGTAAGATTTATATATAGTTCAAAGCTTTTTTTTTTTTGTCCTTTTTGAGACCGGCCGCACTGCGCTCAGCCAGTGAGCGCACCGCGTAAGATTTATATATAGTTCAAAGCTTTTTTTTTTTGTCCTTTTTGAGACCGGCCGCACTGCGCTCAGCCAGTGAGCGCACCGGTCATCCCTATATAGGATCCGAACCCGCGGCGGGAGTGCTGCTGCGCTCCCAGCACCGCACTCTCCCGAGTGCACCACGGGCTCGGCCCCAAAGCTTTTTTTAAAGAGTCACTTTAAATGTATCTCACTTAATTCTTACTATAGCTCTGTATAATAGGCAGCCTAGTATTATTCCTATTTTACAGGCTCAGAAAGGTTAAGCGCCTTGCTCAAAATCACCTAGAAGTTTTCATTGTCTAGGACTAAAAGCCAGGTCTTCACAGTCTGGATCTGTTTCTTCTTTTAACCCCATGTGTGATACTGCTTGTTGCTGCACTTTCTAACAATGGAAACAGCCTCTGCTGACATGAGTATCTTTGCGGTTATTTGGTATTATAGTGAATGAGCAAGGAAGCTCAATTACTTATCTCTTGGTAGTTTCTCTACCATCTCCAGGTGTTAAAGTTTTTCTGAGATTAAATATCAGGGTTTTTTTAATGCTATATTTACCACGTTTTTTTCTAAACTCAACACCTTGGATATTCAAGATGCTATTCTTCCTGTCCTGTTATATTTTTGTAAGTAATTAATATGCTTGTCAGATCCCTATGTACTGCAAGCTGGAGACTACAGATAAGGGCAAGTTACTTAACCTGTCTGGGCCAGCTTTCTTATCTGTAAAATGGAGATTAAAACCTCTATTCCTATTCTTCCTGGGAGTCAGCATTAGGATTAATTAAATCCATGTTTCCCAGGCTCTTAATTTACCATGGCATGCATTTATTTGTTTTCTTGGGCTACTAGTGAAAATTTGCAAAGATAAAGGGGTTTTCTAGTAGAGGGAAGGTGGATAGGATTTTGATAATAGTGTGCTTGCCCTGAATAAAACTGTATATGGGGTGTTGGTTTTTTTGTTTTAAGGGAGGATGGGCAGGGTGAAAATCGGTTTACAGGTGAAGAGAAAGGATGGAAAAACAGAATGAGTGTTCAGTAGTTTCCGAGCTGTTTTGAAGAAAGGGATACAGAGAGGCAATATTGGAGGAGGAACATTTAGATTAGTATTAATGTGTCCTAATGCATTAATAGGGAAATTTTGAATCATGTTTTTTTTAAAAGCTCTGTTGCTGTACTGTCCAATACAGTAGCTGCTAGCCATATATACTTGTTGAGCACTTGAAATATGACTAATCTGCATTGAGATGTGCTGTAAATATAAAATATATACCAGATTTTAAAGATTTAGTATGAAAAAAACAATATAGAATATCTTAATATTTTTCTATTGATTTCATGTTTGAAAGGATACTAATTTTTGATATATTAGGTTAAATAAAATGTTATTAAAATGCATTTCACCTGATACCTCTTAGTAACATGGCTACTAGAAATTTTAAAATTATATGTGTAGCTCATATTTGTGGCTGTCAGTATATTTCCATTGGACAGTGAACAGTGCTGCACTTACAGCTAGTAGGCCGGTTAGTTATTTTTAAATTATTTTTGTGCCAAGATCTCGATTCTTCTCGGTTTCTTTTTTTTTTTTTAATTTTTAATTGACAGTAATTGTACATATTTATGGAGTACAGTGTGATATGTCAATACATGTAGACAGTGTGTAACAATCAAGTCAGTCAACATATCACCTCAAACATTTATCATTTCTTTGTGTTGGAAACATTCAAAATCCTCTCTTATAGCCAATCGAAAGTATACAATAAATTGTTGTTAATTATGATCACCCTATAGTGGTATTGAACATTAGATCTTATTCCTCTCATCTAGCTATAATTTTGTATCCCTTAACCAGTCTCTCACTTTCCCCCTTACACCCTACCCTTTCCAGTCTCTGCTAACCACGATTCTACTGTCTGTCAATTCCTTTGGTCTTTGGGTTAGTCTTGGCAATGCCCTGAGCCCCTAGGCCAGTAGCCTCTCTGGCTGCAAGCAGCCTCTGTTTACCCCATTGTGCCCTCCAGATACTGTTGTATTCTGTGTATGTGTGATATGGGCATTGAACTCTAGATCAAGTGTGGTATTTTTCTACATTCAGGAGTTTCTTATTATCTCCTATTGAGGTAATCTCGTATTTTTAATGTGGGAAGAGGATAGAGTCTTAACTCACAGTTGAGGGGCAAGGATGATTATATTTTCAGCTTATTTCTACTCAAAGGTATATAAGTACCTCACAAAAATGCCACATTTTTAAACATTAAAATATTATTGTAAATTAAAAAGAGATTTCTTAATGAAGCTTTTTAAAAATATAATACTTTTATTTTTAGAGTTGTTTGTGCTATCTTTGCAACTTTTCTGTAAATGTGAAAGTTGCAATATATTTCTCACCGGTTTCCTCTTTAACTTGAAGAATCTGTTTTTAATTTTGTATTACATACCAGAAGTTTACACTTTGAGTTATTTTGCCCAAAAGAAATTCCCAGATTTTACATTATGTTAATTCATTCAGTTTTTAGAAATGTAAAACTAGTTACCTATATATCAGAAAGATGCTTATTGCAAACATGAAATTCAGTGACCTAAACTATTTGCTAAGATGTTCTGTACACCATGGTCACAAAGTTTATATATTCTTCACATATACAAAGCATGTTGATTAATCACTTCTGTCTCTTTTACTTCATAGATGTAAAGAACCTATATCCGTCGTCATCTCATTATACAAGAAATTGGGATAAATTGGTTGGTGAGATCAAAGAAGAAGAAAAGAATGAGAAGTTGGAGGGAGATGCAGCTTTAAACAAACTATTTCAGCAGATTTATTCAGATGGTTCTGATGAAGTGAAACGTGCCATGAACAAGTCATTTGTAAGAACATAAATGTTTTTCCAAATATTATGGGAGTAAATTTTAGACATTTTAAAAGAAAGAGTAAGGTAATTTGAGACCAAACTGCATGTACTATAGCTGGGAGACCTTTTTGAATAGGCTTTGTCTGAACATTTCTTCTTGCTTTGAACTTAGAGTAATCAAGGAAGTTGGAAACTTGTGGAAGAGATGAGAAACAAGTGGTTTATTCCAAATAAATATTTTTTAATCAATGAGTTAGAACTTGGAATGCTAAGAAATACCAAGGTTACAGTGTTAGAGAGTTGTCTTATTTGGATTTATCATAATAGCTGAGTGAGCTTCCATTGTTTACCTTCTAGAATTGTATATAGTCTCAAAGAATATAGAAGGGAGACTTCCAGAATGGTAGACAGTGCATATTAATTATTCATTCATTTAGTAATTTCTCTCAATTAAGAATGTCCAGGCTTTTTGCCAGGGCAACATAACTACCACCTGAATTAGGCCTCAAGTTCTGAGATTTTAGTGACAATTCATCACTGTAGAACTGTGTAGATTATTTTGCTTGAGGATGTAATCATTTGACTTTTACCAATAGCTCTGGAATTGTTACTCTCCTCTTTTAAATCATTCATATTTGTAGTAGAAGGTTAAAATTAATGTTTAATAATTTAATACATAGTTAATAAATGTAGTTGAGGCTCAGATATTCCACATATATGGAATATGTGGTAACTGGTCATGATTGTGCTTTTTCACTATTGATTTTAAAACTTTTTTTTAATTAAACTTCTTATTTTGAGAAAATTATAGATTCACTTACAGTTGTGAGAAATAATACAGAGAAATGTCTTGTACCCTTTACACAATTTCCCCCAGTGGAAACATTGCAAAACCGTGGTATAGTACCATAGACACGGTGTTGACAGTTAAGACAGCATTTCCGTGGATTCCAAGGATCCCTTACGTTGCTGTTTTACAGCCATACCCACTCCCACTCCCACTCCCACCTCCCCCATACCTCCTTTATCCTGGCAACCACTACTGTGGCACATCTTTGTCAAATATGTAGTTTGCAGATATTTTTTCCCTGTCTATAGTTTTCATTAACAGGGTCTTTAATAGAACCAAATTTGATGAAGTCCAATTTATCAATTTTTTTTTTAATTGGTCATGCTTTTGGTGTCAGGTCTAGGATCTCTTTCCCTAGTCCTACATCTCAAAAAGATTTTCTCCTATATTTAAAAAAATAAAAGTTGGATAGTTTTACATACCAAACTTAAGTCCATGATGCACTTTAAGTTAATTTTTATGTAACATGTAAGATTTAAGTCAGTCACATTATCACTTCTTAAGATCAAGTCAGTTCATTTTGATCTTTTGGTTAAGATCAAGTGTAAGTCATGTTCAGTTGCTATAGCACCATTTGTTGAAAAGGCAATTTTTCCTCTATTCAGTTGCTTTTACACCTTTCTCAAAAATCAGTGGAGCACATTTGTGTGAGTCTATTTCTGGGTTCCCCATTCTGTTCCATTGATGTATGTGTGTATGCCTCTGTCAGTACCACAGTCTTGAACGGTAGCTGTATAAGTCTGAAATTAGGCGGACTCATTCCTTCTACTTTGTTCTTTGTGTTCAAAACTGTTTTTAGATATTCTAGTTCCTTTGCCTTTCCATATAAATTGTAATTTTGTCTGTATGTACAAAAAAATCCTGCTGAGAATTTGATAGGAATTGCATTCAACTGCATATCAGTTTGAAGAGATTGATTAACATCTTTACTGTGTTGAATCTTCCAATCCATTTGTTTAAATCTTCTTTGGTCCCCCCTCCACTCCCAGAGTTGTGCAGTTTCCACCATATAAGTCCTTTCCATGTTCTGTTATGTTATACCTAAGTTTTTATTTTTTTGAGTGATTGTAAATGGTGGTGTATATTTAATTTTGGTATTCATGTTTTTCGTTACTAGTATCTAATAATACAGTTAATTTTTAGGTTTATTTTGTATTCTGTGACATTGTTGAACTCAATTATTAGTTCTAGGAGTTTTTGTCAAATTACAAAAATCCTGCCCTTTTCCTATTTTTTGAACTTTTTATGATTATGGATTTTTCTTCTTTAGCCTATTTAATATGGTGGTTTTTATATGATTAATATGATTGATTTTTGTGTAGTGAGCTAAACTTGCATAAACTCCAGTCTGTCATAATGTGTGAGGGTACTTTGAAAAGTTCATGGAAGGTTCGTATTATCTTTTAATTCCTTTTTTTTTTTTGGTGTCTGGCAGGATCAGGGGTGGGACCCTGGAACTTGGTGTTTCCAGCAGCACACTCTAACCAGCTGAGCTAACTGGCCAGCTCTATTCATTTTTTTTTTTTTTCCCTTTTTGTCTTTTTTCGTGACCGGTAACAGGATCGCAACCCTCGGTGTCGCGCCCGTACCGCAATCAGCAACGGGATCGCAACCCTCTGTGTCGCGCCTGCACTGCGCTCAACCAGTGAGCGGACTGGTCTCTGTATGGGATCCGAACCCTCGGCGGGAGCACTGCCACACTCCCAAGCGCTGCACTCTACCGAGTGCGCCACCGGGCCGGCCCACTATTCATTTTTTTGAAGTACCCTTGTGTAGTTCTTTTTATATACAAGGATTGTTCAATTCTATTTTCTTTCTAATATTTTGTAAAGGATTTTGTGTCTATTGATGAGGGATATTGGTCTATACTTTTTTTTGTAGTTTATTTGTCTGGTTTTGGCATCAGGGTAATACTAACTTCATAAAATGAATTAGTAAGCGTTCTATCTTCTTCCATTTTTGGGTGGAGATTGTGTAGAATTGGTGTTAATTTTTCTTTAAACGTTTGGTAAAGTTCACCAGTGAAAAGAACTGGGCCTGTATATTTTTTTTGGGGGGAGATTTTAAGTGACAAAGGTAGTTACCCTAACAGCTTATAGGATTGTTCAGATGATCTGTTTCATATTGGATGACTTGTGGTAGTTTGTGTTTTTTGAGAAACTGGTCCATTTTGTCTAAATTGTCAGTGTTTGTAGTATTCTCTTATTATCCTTTCAATGTCTGCAGGGCCTATAGTGTTATTGCTTTTCATTCTTAAAATGATGATTTGTGTTTTTTTTTCTTCTTTGTCAGTCTTGCCAGAGGTTTGTCAATTTCACTGATTCTTTTTCCCGCCGAAAAATCAGCTCTTTGTTTTAATATTTTTCCTTGAATTTTATTTATTTCTGTTTTCTTTATTATCTTTCTTCTGCTTGCTTTGGGTTTATTTTGCTGTTCTATTTTTTTTCCCTAAGTTCTTCAGATGTAAGCTTAGATAATTGATCCTTTTTTTCTTTTCTGTTGAGTGCATTTATGCTAGCAATTTCCCTTTCTCAGCATTTTAGTTGTCTTCCACAAATTTTGATGTGTTACTTTCATTTTTTTCTTTCAGTTTAATATATATTTTGATTTTACTTGAGACTTAATGGATTATTTAGAAGTGTGTTGTTTTGTTTCCAAGTGTTTGGAGATTCCTGTTGGCTGTTACTCATTTCTAATTTTATTCTGTTGTGGGTGGAGAATGTGCTTTGTATGATTTAAATTACTTTAAGTTTGTTGATTCTTTTTTTTTTTTTTTACTGTCCAGGATTTGGTTTAAGTATATGTTCCATAGGCATTTGAAAACAATGTGTTTTCTGCTGTTGTTGGGTAGAGTCAATAATATCCTGTTGGTTGATGATGTTGAATTCTTCTATATACTTGCTGTTTTTCTGTCTTTGTGTTCTATTGATTGTTAAGAGAGGGTCTCCAACTCTAATTATGGATTTATCTATTTATTTTAGTTCTGTCAGTTTTTGCTTTACATATTTTGCATTTCTGTTGCTTGGTGCATTTACAGTTGCTACAAGGGTGCTTCAGAAAGTTCGTGGAAAAATAGAATTGAAAGTGTGAATCTTTCCATGAACTTTTTAAAGTTCCTCATATGTCCTCATGGTAGATAGGACAGCCGTTTTATTATTATTTAATGCCATTCTCTTGCTCGTACTTTTCTTTGCTCTGATATTAAAGCCATTTCTGCTGTATCTTTCATCCTTTTATTTTCACATTATATTTATAGTAAGTTTCTTATGGACAGACAGCATATAGTTGGGTCATATTTTTTAATCTACTCTGGCAGTGTTTTAATTGATATATTCAGACTATTTACATTTTGTGTAATTATCAGTGTGCTAGGAATTAAGTCTGTCATTTTATATTTTGCTTCTGTTCTTGTTTTTTTCCCTTGTTGTGGGTTACTTGAACATTTTTTAGAAAATCATTTTGGTTTATCTCTGGTTAAAAGTTTTGTCGGCTTAGGCTGTTCCTTTTTTTGTCCTTTGGCTAGAGAGAGCAGACTTTTGTTGGGGCTTTTTTTGTTTGCACCTTTGGTGTTTCTGCTTCAGCTTTGAGTCTAGGATATGAGGCAAACACAAAACCCAGGGAATTCACAACCATGACATTTATTGAATTCTGAGGTCCCTAGCAGATCTGTCTTCTCTTTACCTTTTAGAGTCTTCTTACCTTTGTTTTATGTAATGTCCAATGTTTTATACTCATGCAGAAGACATTTAGTTTTACTTCATGGGAATAGGAAAAATACATCTACTTGATCATCCCATAAGAAGTCAGTCTTACCATTGACTTCTAAAAGTGTGCTGAACACGACAACTTAGCTACTGCTGGAAACCCCCCAGGCTCACCAGCTGGAGTTGGGGGAGCCCATGGGGGGGGGGCCTCAGCCACACCCCCTACCCCCTCCAGGCCAGTGAAGGAGCTGGCTGTGGGCCAGCCCTTCCCTCTCATCCCCACCTGCTCCCTCACTGCTCCACAACAGTATCTTTGAATGTAAAAACATAATAATAGTAATAAATTTAAAAAAACAAAAAATGTGCTGGACAAAATAGTGTGTAAAATCAAAGATGCATTGTAGAATCTGCATACATTTTCATACAGAAACTTCGATAATTGTAAGCAAACCATATATATCC